ATTGACTTGCCTACTTGATAGTGTGTGTTCTCCTTTTATTCCTCCTTTGGTGGACTAATATTTTCCGAGACTTTGTACTCGATGTTACTAGTATACATGATACATGATAAAGGCTAACGATTTCATATCGTCGATACGACGGCACCGCACTTCGAATCGAAAATTCTCATACTCAAATCGCTTTATTCTCCAAAAAAATTCGCCAGCCTGTACAACAGATGCCGTTCTTCGAAAATACGGAGATACTTCGGCGAGATGTACAAGTTTTGAACCATATTTTAACAATGGAAATCAAAACCCATTTTATATTGAACTTGCTCAGGCCGAAAATTACTACGGCAAACGCCTGCGCAACCAGGCCTCCTTTACCGTTGGGATTTACAGGGGGGAAGCAGATATTTCCGGTAACAGCCAGCCTATCGCAACCGTGATAGTGACTGTTTACATTATTTGAAATTTGATATTCAAAATAAAAACTCCTTCAATTGGATACTGTAAACTCGAGATGTTGTCGAAGAAAAGAAAACTAAACGACGGAGATTGTAGGAATTTAAGGAAGAAAAAATATACAGCGGCTCTTTGTTGGAAAGCATGGTAGGAGAATTTTATTTGTTTTGAATTTTTTATACACAATATGATCGAAATATGATCGTTAATATGTTAGTGGCATCCCCCCCTGTAAATCCCAACAGTACAGGAGGCCTGGTTGCGCAGGCGTTCGCCGTAGTAATTTTCGGCTTAATATTGCTTTGTATGTTCGAAGATGGGTGTTTATTCTATACGCTGGCGAAGTTTTACCGCGAAGAAAGCAATTTGAAGGGGATATTTTTCGATTTGAATTGTTCGTGTCGGCTGTTTGAGAACTGGAATCGTTAGCCTTTGCTTTCAATACTATCACCTGTGAAGACAGTCGCAGGCATCGAATGTAAAGTCGCTCAGAAATAAAAGACGATCACATACAATCAAAGTAGGCAAGTAAATATGATTTTAAAATATAAAATTCATTACAAATTTTACTGTGTAGTATATTCTATAATGATATATTTACTATACACTAATACACGCCTGGGCCGCCGCTTGTGTAGTAACATGGAGTACAAAGTCTCGGAAAATATTAGTCCAACAAAGGAGGAATAAAAGGAGAACACACACTATCAAATAGGCAAGTCAATTTCATTTTAAAATTTATATTTTACGACATATTATTTTTACTATAATATACATTAATATAATATAATATACATTTATACTATAAGTCTATACTGACCCTTGCGAGATTGGGCCGCCTGTGATTAAATCGAGAAACACACTTTTCCGGAAAGTGCTTACTGAAGGTGCTTAGGCTTGTTTCACACATCGCACTATCGTCGAATTTCATTTTATGTATGATAACGTATGCTATTAAAATGCATAAATTATGCTAAGGTGTCTCAATAAAGTTTTTAAAAAAATGGAAAATCACGATCTAGATGCGTATTTTTGGACAACTATTTTTTGTTGATAAACAAAAAGTACCTTATTTACTACCTCCTCCGCAGGCCTTTCAAAAAAATAAAATTGGTGCGAAACGAACCGAAAGGCCTGAGGACTAATTTTCCAAAATGGCGGGAAGTCACAAACCAAATTATATTTAATATATCATTTTACCAAAACAATATTATTATTATTAATATTAAAGTTTTTAACTACTTCTGATATAGACCGCTTTTCGTATCAGCAATATACATAAAAACATTGAACACTGAACAAACAAGCATATACAATGATTTATAAAGAGAAGCAGATAAATATCAGTTTATAATTTGCATATTACAAACACGCAGCGCTTTTATGTAACACGTCGTATGTCAGGCATGCGGCCGTTTATCCACGAAATTTATTCCATTCATGTTTGTCAGTTTATACTTTATACAGTGTAACTATTTAAATGCGTGTGTATATAGTCAAAACATCCCAAATGATAGATTCACAACGTCTATTATCACTGTCGCTTGTGCTTGTAAAACCCTCCATTATTTGAATCTCCTCGTCGCTTTTATCAGCCATAACTGCCAAGATGTATTTAGAAAATACTTGCAAAACGGGATTACTAAAGATTGGCAGACGATGTGCCATATTTTTGGAGAAATTTGACCCAACCGGGTAATCGACACCAAAAGCCAAGTAATCGACATGTTATTCAGCAGGCCTTACAGCTACGCAAGCCTTCGTCTTAAATTTCAAATTCTAACCTGCGAACGGGCATACTCATTACGGGCTGTATGGCCTACGGAGGAGGTAGCCTTATTTATACAAAACAACATCTAAAGAGTTTGAATTTTTGGTTATCGTTCCATGTTTCGCGCACCAATATAAGTTAGGGTTAGGGGTTAGGCATTAGGGTTAGTGGTTAGGTTCTAATTAAAGGGTTAGTGGTTAGGGTTAGGTTTAAGGTTAGGGATAGGGTTAGAGTGTGTATATATGTATATGGAGGTATCCAGTTAACTTTTCAGTACACTATAATATCCATTACATAACGTTTACAGTATTGGTGCGCGAGACATGGAACGATTACCGAATATTTGCACAAAAGTTACGCAAATGCCATTGCTATTGGCAACAATGACGTTTCAAGATGGCGGATATTTGGGGGATTTGATGGCGATATCGTAAACGACATCGGTGACCCCCAAATTTTATTTTAATAAGTATTATATATTTCTCTTAATATAATCAATTATTTTGACAATTTAAAAAATATTCTGTGGAGCCGAAATTTTTTAAATTACGTAAAGGTGATTATTCATGAATTTTAATTTTTTTGGCTCCACAGAATTTTTTTGAATTGTCAAAATAATTGATTATACTCAGAGAAATCATTTTTTTTTTCAATAAAATTTGGGGCTCACCGATTTTTAAAAAATACGCATCTAAATCGTGAATTTTCCATCTTTTTTAAAACTGTATTGAAAAGTCCGTTTCTGTCATTCTGATCCCATGGTTTTTATTTCTGGGTAATGGTACTCCATGATCGCTAATCATGAAATGAATTTGTGTGAATTAAATTCGTCGTTTGAAAAATGAATTTCAGGCTGAATTAAATTCGTCGTTTGAAACGAAACCATTTTAATGTCGAGCAATTGACGAAATTGATAACGAATTAAATTAATTCGGTGCCTACTAAAATTACAGAAACGAGCTGCCAGACTAATTCTTGAACAGTCAATCCACTGAGTGCCTTCAATTATGCTTTTCCGCTGTAAACTTAACTGGATACCTATTTTTAATCTAATCAAAATGATAAGAATATTGATGGTATTCAATACTTTAAAAACAATTTGGCCGCCGGATCATCGGCGTAAATTGTTTGTCGACTTTGTTCGCGACTTTCACCAATTCCAACTAGATCGTCTATGATCTATCTCAGATTTAAAAGTTCCTTCTGGTTAAGACTGAGCAAGCTAAATCCAAGATTTCCTACAGTGGTGCAAGTTTATTCAATTCTTTACCATCCGAATTAAACTATATTGAAAATCACTCAATTAATTCCTATAAAAATAAGTTGAAAACCTACTTTCTTCAATTGAATTATGAATTAAGTGGATCACTTTAAGTTAATAAGTTCCGCTGTCAGTGTCGAATGTAAGCATATTACTCATTGACAGTGTCAATGTTATCTCAATAAGATTTTTCATATTAGACATCGAGGGTCATTGGAAAGAATACTATTAAGTAATCAATGTAATCCCTCAATAAATAAAATTTAATAAAATTATCAATAGTAATTCATGTTTCGCTCGCTACTCTGGTTTAAATAAATGATTACAAAGCCCAGTCGCATTGTAATCAGGACCCAACGTTTCGACACTCCAGTCTAGTGTCTTCATCAGGGGTGATCTATATGGTGTCCCATGTCCGCCAAAAATCAACTTTTGCATTTCACTATATATGATATTTTGAGGATCATATTCATTTCAATAATATAACAACATTGTTTTTGAAGATCACCGGTTTATCGGTTGAAAACACAACTTATTTTTTGAAGACCAACTTTTGAAGACCAACTATTGAAGACCAACTTTGGAAGACCAACTTTTGATACCCGACCGCAATCCAATGTCTTTGTTGTTCGCGGGCTCATATTGTCGTGATTTTCCGCTAAAATCATCTCTGTCTGAGTAACTAAACTTTTTATATATTCAGTGTTTTATTTTCCTTATCCATTTTGTGCAGGCTTATGTAAATTCAAGAATATGAATTATTCATATACTGTACAATGTACATGACATGTATTAATAGTTAATTATGATTTATGACTTGGTGTTGGCGGCTCGTATTTTAGAGGGTGGGAAAGGGTAAATGGTAAAGGGGTGATGTTGGTCCAACAATGTTGGATCCGTTTAAACAGGCCTTAAGGATGTCTGTTTCGTGAACTGTGATTTTGGTTTGTTGATTTCGATCTATTTTATAATAGTCATAATAAACATGATACGCGATAATCAATTTATATGATCTCACTCAATTGCACAAGAGTAAAAACTTCGGAGGCCTTTCGGAGGTCGTCGGACATACTCGTCACTCAAACTTCTAAGTTATGCATTAAACATTCATTAAACATATCTTTCTGTTTGCGCTGGGTATGGAAATTATATAATACACACTCTAGAACATTTTCATACTCTTAATAAACCTATTATTATTATATTATTTTATTAGAATCTAGTTTTCCGTGAAATTGCTTTTTTAAGACACGTGAATCGTGAAACGGCTTTTTTTTCGTTGTGAAACGTGACCATACCCCCCCCCTTTCCCACCCTCATTTTACTTTTGATCAGGTTAGATTGCAGAATACCCCTCCATTTTCTAACATTACACAGTAAGTTGTTGTATTGTTGCCATTTGTTGCTGCAATTTTAGTTGCGATTTTCTCCTTTTGTAGGATGTGAAGGAGTAGATTACATAAACATTTAACTTTAATATCCACTCCTTCACATCCTCCAAAAGGAGAACATTTCGAACAGTGGCAGCAGACATCAACTTTTAGGCGGGGGCAGGGGGAAAGCTTGTGCAGGTTTTTAATGTCATGTGTACCATTTGGACACCTAAACAGTGCCGTACCAAGCTCGATAATTGGTGGGGGGCTGATATTCATATATTCGTGTTCTGTGTTATTAATTTCTTTAGAAATCCATTGTTTTTATAGTCTGTGAACACAAATATATGAATATCAGCCCCCCCCCCAATTATCGAGCTTGCTACGGCACTGCTAAAATCTGGCTGTGTGTAATATATTAGGATATCTATGTTCTAGGACAATACATTATCCTGTTTTTCTCTGTTTATCAATGGGTCATTCCAGAAAACATCCATACCACCCCACGGAGGAAATTAGAAGTTAACCCCCCTACCCCCTTCGGATATCCTATTGTCTGGATTGGTGTTCCGTTTGTTCCATATTGAAAAGAATGTTATATGCCTCTCCAACGTTTGCACATGCTGAACTGTAATCAAGATTCATATTTACTAGCAACCGTTGTAAAAAATCAAGTTTCAGCATAAGCTCTTGGTAGTCTACATTAGCGTCTCGAGGCTGTGAAAAACGGTCGACGGAATTTATCATATCAAAGATTCCCTGTAGCAAGTATTGTTTGTCTTTTCCTCCATTTTGAAAACATAATAAATGAGCCCGCGAACAACAAAGACATTGGATTGCGGTTGGGTATCCAAAGTTGGTCTTCCAAAGTTGGTCGTCCAAAGTTGGTCTTCCAAAGTTGGTCTTCCAAAGTTGGTCTTCCAAAGTTGGTCTTCCAAAGTTGGTCTTCCAAAGTTGATCTTCAAAAGTTGGTCTTCAAAAAATAAGTTGTGTTTTCAACAGATAAACCGGTGATCTTCAAAAACAATGTTGTTATTTTAATGAAATGAATATGATCCTCAAAATATCATATAGTGAAATGCAAAAGTTGATTTTTGGCGGACATGGGACACCATAGATCTAAACAAGGGATGACGTCACCTGCCAATGAGACGCATATATTCCTTTGGCAAACAGGCACCGTTATCCCTATTCAAAACATGATTTATATTTATATATGCCACGCTTCTAGGCAAAGTCTTTGACCATAGCGATTGTTTGTGGTAAATACTTTAGAGTTTTCCTACGCAATCTCTAGCCTGTGTACAGCCGTTACTCTCGACGAAACGCGCGAGAGAACGTCTGGGGGTTGGATGCATAATCCTTGTTCAGGTCACGCGGATAGTTCCCAGATTTGGCGACCGGCCTCTGATTGGACAGTGCTTATTTGAATAATTTATGACAAATGAAGCTATTTCATTGGTTAATTGATCTTTAGCATGCGTTTAAAATAACAACACAAAAATTTTAAAATTCAATAGTACTTAAATGTAATAGTACTTAAAATAATACTTAATAGTACTTAATAGTACTTAATAGTACTTTTATATAATAGTACTTAGTACTTAAATTTAATAGTACTTAAATTTTAAAATCCAATAGTACTTAAATGCTTTAAATAGGTAAAACATTGCTATTGGTTAGTTGGGCAAAGAAGTTCCCGTGCTTTTTTTGCCAATGTGAAAGTGAAAATGGCGGATATAATCGAACTAGAACAAATCTGCTGCAAGACGCATTTAATCATAGTGCTCGTTTAACGGGAGTAAGTCTAAGTGTAAATCGTCCTATGAATCCCAGCAGTAATGCACCGGCGTCAAATTCTGTAAGCATGGAACTAAATACAAGATTTCCTTCGTTACGAATGCCAACCGGCCGTACTGCCCTACATCTGTAAGTCCTGCCACGTCGTCAACCGCTGGTGACTCAGCCTCGGCGGCTTGCACTCGCCTCGGCGGCTCGTGCCATTTTGGCCCATTTTTCAAAAATCACTCGTTAATTACGTGTCAATCATTAATTTCACTCATTAATTCACTATACATATTGATTATTGTTATTCTAATGAGTTTCACAGCCATCTTCCCTTCGATAGGGTATGGTCTATCCTATACCTAATAATTTAATAGGAACATATTATTCAAGCACTTGGAAGTTTTTACGTGACGGTAATCTCATCTTTGTAACCTTTGAACTGGACATTATCGAGGCAGTAAAACTCTGGCTTGCATCTAAGGGACGTCTTGCTGTTCTGTCACTCTGGAAAACTTTCGTTAAAACTTCTCCACAATGCTTTCGAAACTCCCTGCTTTGAAACGCGTATAAAAATGGATTTAGACAACACGATGAAAATCCTAGAATCATTCCAAATTGATAAAAGTCCGAACTCCATCTGACCTTCGGCACGTCGCCATATTGAAATAAGAGATACATAATATTATTCGGAGTCCAGCAGATTAAAAACGTCAATAACAATATAAATACAATTCTTATAGTCCTTCCTTTACTTTTCACAATTTTAACCCGTTGTCTTTCGTCGCCGAGTGCAGTTTTTAACGTTGAATCTAGCCGATTTAAACGTTTCCTAATGCGATAAAAGTTTATAGCAAAAATCACGGCTGGAAGTAGGTATTCGCTGATGAAAAGACACGAGTATATGAATATGTTTGGCAGCTGCTCAGGCCAGTAGTGGCAACTGGTTCCGACCGTTGCATTTGAAGCTGTGTAGCGAATTCCAACTAAAACTGGAAGCTCCCTTGCAAATCCAAAGAACCATGCTAAACCAATATATACATAATTCTTCGTCGTTATGCCCAAACGCGTTTCAAAAGGCTTCGAAATTGCTGCATACCTCTCGAAGCTAATAACAACCAGTATATAAATAGATACTCCTGCCAACCAATATTGAGGCAGATTTCCAGTGATTAGTTTACAAAATATGTCGCCTCCTATTCCAGTAGGGTGAGGAAAAGCGTTCGTACTCATAATGTACACAGGTAGACATACTACAGACAAAGCCAAATCGACTATGGCTAATGCCATTAGGTAGACATTGAATGGAACGTCTCGAAATCGATGCTTCGGTGAACTGCCACTTTTTCTGATCACTAGAATTACTGTAGAGTTTCCAAGCACGCCTATTATAAGGATAAGACTGTAGCAGACTACCTCCCAAGATCTTAACTCGAAGTCTGCCATTTTGTCTTTCACATGTTGACTACCAGCTAGATAAGTTTGAGTATATTTAGTTCCGGTCTAGCCTGCGTAGCAGGCGTTTAGTGCGGGCGGAAGAAGAGAGGGCGTCGTTAAATAAACGCCTGCCCAAATACCTATGACTAGGGTACCTGCAAGGTAGGGATTGCTGCGGCCATTAAGAGAAAATAGAACTAAATAGTTCAAATTATATAAAGCACAGTTATTACTCGCAGCGTGCCAGCGACTGGCGAGCACTGTAGCCGAAGCTTAAGGATACGGAATCGATTCATGCCATGAGTACATAACTGAGAGAAAAGCAATGCAGTTGTTGCCAAAACCAGAGGTTAAGGGCAATCACATGCAGGTGACAGATATATTAAACATGTGCGTCTCATTGAATACTTATTACTTGCGTGTTAATGTTAATGTGAAAGTGATATTCACTAAAGCATATGAC